TGCCTGGCTCCCTGGTGCAGAGGCAGGTGCTGGGTCTGGGTGCCTCTGCCCCCTTGTGGCCCAAGAGCACCGCAGCATTTGCTGGCCTGGGGCTAGCCTCTGGCCACTGGGCTCTGTCCTTTGCCCTGGAGTCATGTCAGGCGGAGAGAGGGACCGAGGAATCACCCTGAAACTGGCCCTGCATCCCTGGTCTCTGGCAGCCGGCCCTCCAAAGATGGTCTCCCCGAGGGGCACCCTGGGCCCGGGGGGAATGCAGATTCCTGGGCTTGCCTCTGTGAGTCTGACTTAGAAGTTACAATGTAGAGGCTAAAGCTGATAGGGCTGAGCCCAGAGGGACTCGTCTGCTCCCCCATATTACAGATGGAAAAACTGAGACCCTGACAACGGTCCGGCATATCTGTGGCCTCTCCACTGAGAAGGCCCTACAGGCTCTGTCCATCTTGAGCCCATGGTCTCTGTGTCCAAGGTGACTGGGCGTTGTGGGGTCCGCAGAACATGGTAACGTGGGCTGGGGCGATTGCTGTCCTCGTAGGAGTCCGGGGCCTCTTTATTTATCCACCTCATTTAACTGTGGGTTGAAATATTGTGCCGGAACTGGAGCTGAGCAGGCAGAAACGCTCCGTATTGTGAGCTTAATTATAGCCGGAGGAGACGGGAGAAATGAGCCGTGAGCTACCAGTGGCTCCACACAGGAAACAAGCCTTTGGACATTCTTCCTTTTATTTTTAAAAAATACATATAAGATGCCTCCCTGGTTGAAAAATATTGAATCTACTGGATATTGACCTTTGGGGAGGAGCATCTGCCTCCACCCAGAGCTTCTGGAAGCTTCCATTCATCCCGCTGCTCACTTAGGTGCCGGGTTGCTGGGCAATGGAATGGGAGGGTAGGGGACAGGATGTAGCCTCAGGAGGCCCCATGGGGAGCCTGGCCCACCCTGGTGATCTTGGCCAGGGACCACCTCTGGGAATGCAGAGAAGGCAGAGAGCGATGCCTACACCCTATGTCCGTGGATCACGCCCTCTGGGAGTTCAGAGGTCGGCCTCTCACTACTTTCCTGGCTACTTTTCTTCCTCACAGGTGCAGAACCTCGTGTCTACTGGAAAGTCCTCTGCCCATCTGCTGGCACGGGGCAGAGTAAGGAGGGACAGAGGCAGAGTCTAGATCACCCACCCCAGCGCTCTGCATCTAGCAACAGGATGGAGAGACAGCCCCAAAAAATTGTGTTTGGGGGGGGTGGTGATCACAGGACACATAGACAGCCATGTGTGCTGTGTCGCTGAGAAAGAGTTTCACTAGACAGACCAGACCTTATCTGCTGTGTGACCTTGAGAAAATCACGTCACCTCTCTGAGCCTCAGTTTCCTCATCTGTGAAATGGGGCTTTTGTGGGGACAAAAGGTGAGGATCTCTGTGAGCAGCCGACTGAGGGATGAGCGCCCCTCTGCCTGGGGGCAGTGAAAGGAGATGGGGGCCTTTTTCCTTCCCCAACTCGAGTCTTGGATGGGAGAAGCTGCTCCGTGGGAGCAGACACGCAGGTTCACCAGCTCCTTTGAAATAGCAGGGGCTCGTTGTCCTGAGCTGCGGGGCTCCTGCTGCAGGCTTCCCAGGGAAGCAGTGACCCAGCACGGGTCTCGATCGAACTGCCGATGCCCCTGATGGTTCGTTGGTGAAATGAGAGACCGCCGACCTCGGCGTGTTCTCGTGGGAATTCAAATCAATGATGATGAACTCGTTTAGAGACCGTAACGTTCCATGAAGGACGGTGTCTGAGATGTAACTCAGAACTCACGATGCTCTGGGGGAAGGGGACATGTGAGAAACAGAGGCACGTGGCCTCAGGCCACACAGCAGGCACAGGTTGTAGCTCAGATCTGGGGGGCGGTCCAGTCTTGGGGGCAACTAAACTTATGCAATTTGGGGGTCCCTCAAAGTCAAGTCAAGGGCAAAGATTCAGAAGAAGAAGAGAAATCCCAACAAGTGGTCCACTCTAGACGTCTGCCAATTATCACAGAAGTCAACATTGCCAGGCCCTCCGCACCAGGACAAAATCGCCCTGGCAGTGATTCCAACCCAGATCTTAGACTCCTTCTCTAGTGTGCTGCCTCCTAGAGCTGCTCCCTGTAAGGGACTCAGTTTTCTGTGAATGAGTTTCCTCGCCTCTGGAATGAACCAAAGATACGAATAAGGCTTTCAAAATGGTTTTGCCCTGCTTGCCTCCACAGCGCCTTCCCAGTCTGGGGAGTGGAGTGAGGCAGAATTGCTCTTGCTTGGAGACAGGGTGGGTGGATTTGGTGGGACGAGACAGCCTCTGAGTTCTGTGCCCATTTACATATCGCTTCTGTTCACTGTCAAGGAACCCCCCTCCATTCCCGGGTTCCCGAAAGGCATGGCTCCCCCGGGCAGATAAAAGCTTCGTGGAGTTTTGCGACATGAAAGTCAGTTGGAGGGAATAGACTGGTACAGCCTGTGTCAAGGAGGAAGGCGAACGGGACGCGGGAGAGATGAAAGCACCCCAAGTTATTTTACGACAAAGGCAGCCCTCACCGCCACAGAGGCAAGGAGAGAAGACCCCGGGAAAGAGGAGCATGTCCTTCGTGGAAAAATGGAAACCTCTCTGAAGCTTTGGGGGTGGTGTCCTGCCAAGTAGTGAAACCAAGTGATGGTAACACGGGGCTCCTCCCCGGGAGGATGGGCAGCCCACTTCCGAGAGGCAGGGCAGGAGCTGCAGGGCGGCAGGGGGAACGCGGAGACTGGTGCTGGAGGAGGCCGTGCTCTTGGGAACGCAGGTGGGTCCAGCCAGGTGGCCCTGTGCCAGCCCAGGACAGGGGGCGGGGGCACCTGGGCCCTGGGGAGGAGTGCTGTGGTGCTGAGGAGTCAGAAGCCAAGAGTCTGATGGCTCCCTTGCTGGCTTTGGGGTTCCCTCGGACTGGAGTGAGGCTGCCTTCGAGGTGGACACTCCGTGGGGACAGCGGGAGGTCAGGTGGTCAGGAGGACAGTGGTGGCGGCGTTTGAGGCAAAATGGCCCCTGAAGGGGGTTAATGTGTCCACTCTGGGTGTGAACGGGCAAGCCACCCCCTTTCTAGGTCATGTATTCATTCAACGAACACATATCCTCTGTTGGGCCCAGAAAAACTCCAAAAATGTCACTGGGGCTGTCACTCCCCCAAGAAGCCACCGTCCGGGGCGTGGGCTGACTTGTGACCGTCCAGTCCAGGGTGGGGTGGGACCTGGCAAGGCGGGGGAGGCGTGCTGCTGCGGACAGCCCCGGGGGAGAGGAGCCTGGTCCAGACCCCAGACAGGACCTGGGGGGTGGACCGGAAGTGGGAAATCCTTCCCGGATTGGAGCTGAGCGCGGAGCCCCCGGCTCGGCCGGGTCCGACGGCGCGGCCAGGTGCCCCCCGTGGTCGGGAGTGTCAGGAAGGAGCGGGTGGGCCGGCTGGGTCACGCCGTGCGGGGCTCTGTCCCTGTGGGAGGAGTCGGGGCCAGCTCCTGGGCGATGGGGAGCTGCCCGAGGGTCTGGCTGGGGTCAGAGTTCCATTCGTGATGTGCCCCAGGGAAGGCGGGGAGCAAGAGCTGGAGCCTGAGGCCAGAGAGGCGGCCGCAGGGTCGAGGCCCCACGCGGCTCCTGACCTGGCCGGCCTCTGCTTGGAGGCTCCTGGCGTTTCCTTCCTGTCCCTCCCTCCTCCCTCTCTTCCTCCCTCCCTCCTCCCCAATCTTCTCTATTTTCTCCCCCCTCCTCCCCTCCTCCTCTCCCTCCTCCCTCATCTTCCCTCTGTATCCTTCTTCCTCCCCTGCCCCCTCTCCCTCCTCCCCTCCCCCCCTCCTCCCCTCCCCCCTCCTCCCTTTCCTATTCCTCCCTCTCCCCCTGTCTCCTTCCAGCCTTCCCTCCCCTTTCTTTCTCCCCTTCCCCTCCCTCCACAGCGGAAGTCCTTCTTCCCTGGACAGCTGCTCAGGAGCAGGGATCTGCCTCTATTCCCTTCCCCTCCAGCCCAGGGGGCTTCCTGCGGAGCCCTGCACCCCAGACAGCCTGTATGTCCCTTCCCAGGCCTGGGCACCCAGTGGCTCTCTGCGGGGATGGGAGGAAGCAGGACAGAGCCCTCGGAGCTGAGTCTAGACACCGTGGATGTTCCTCTCTGGGTTTTCAGACCTATCATAGTGGAGACCGTGGGGAAGCTCTGCAAGCCCGTGGACATGTGGGTGCTGGGGCCCACCCACCTCTGTTCAGGCTTAGAGGCTGCGGAATGGGTGGGCACAGCACATCTAGACCTGAGCAGTGGGGGCAGTGGGGGCAGTGGGGGAGGACTCCTCCTGTGGGGACGTGCCCTCAGATTCACCCAGACCACCACCCAGGGGACCCTGCTTAAGGCCGACCCCAACTCCCTGGGTGATGGAGCTTGGTGGGTGGGGCCAGCTCTGCAGGGAGCTCCTGAGAGGATTAGCTGCCCCAGGAGCACAGCTTACAGGTGCCAGCTGAAGGCCAAATCATTCAATCTTCTGTTCAGCTCCCCCAGAAGGAAATGGCCACCCACTCCAGGATTCTTGCCTGGGAAATCCCATGGACAGAAGAGTCTGGTGGGCATGGTCTATGGGGTTGCAGAGTCAGACACAAAAGCGACTTAGCATGCCTGCACCTGTCGGGGTTGCTGGGACCCGGGCCCCACACAGCTCAGGATGGCCAGAGAGCCCTGTACACGGAGCCTCTGGCCCGTGGTCTGAGATCCAAGGGCCGAGGCAGGAAGGGCTGACCTGCCTTCAGAAGAAGACGGAGGACTCACAGGGGAGGAGGCGGTGTGGCCAAGACAGGGGCTCCAGGACCCCAGACCAGACCCTAGCTCCGTGTAAGGAGGCACACTGTCCCTCTGCTCCCCTCCAACAGGGGGCGCAAGTGAACGCGTCTGGGCTGTGGGTTTGGGAGAAGAGTCTCCAATCTCCTTCCCACAGGGCTGAGCTGGGCCCGGCGTCCACTGTGGGGCAGGCCTGGGCCGCAGCCAGGGGCCATGCTGCCCGCTTTCCCACGGGTCCTGCCGAGCCTCCTAATGTGCTGGGCCTCCCTGCACCAGGCTCCACTGTAAGTGGACGGGAGGCCGCCAAGGCAGGCTGTTTCCGGTCAGCCCCCACCAGCGCCAGGCAAAGAGCAGGGTGGGTTTTTTGTTGTTCGTTCAGTCGCTCAGTCGTGTCCAACTCTGCGACCCCGTGGACTGCAGCACAACAGGCTTCCCTGTCCTTCACCACCCCCCAGAGCTTGCTCGAACTGATCTCCATTGAGTTGGGGATGCCATCCCACCATCTCATCCTCTGTCGTCCCCTTCTCCTCCTGCCTTCAGGGTTTTCCGTGGGGGTGGGGGTGGGGGAGCCAAACCAAAGCTCTGGGCTCTGTTTTCCTGCCAAGCAGCAAATCTGGAACCCATCGGCTATCACGGAGATGGAAGATTAAGACTGTCTTAGCCGAGGAGACAGCCTGGGATGGCCCAGCTGTGGGGCTGGGAGTATGAGCAACTTTGCATCCTGCCTCTGCCCTCCCCTCCCGGAAATCCAGGTTTAGGAGCTGGGGGAGCCCGTGGGAACCACAGGATGATGTGGGAGAATCTTGGCCCCCAGCACCGGGCAGCGGGCAGCCATCCACAGCCGTCCTGCCCCGAGTCTGCTCTCTGAGCAGAAGCCCAGCGGTCTGCGGGGGGAGGGCACTTTGGCGTGGTATGAAATGGCTGGTTTCCGGGATGGCCCTTAGCCTCTGTCACCCAGCTCCATGACCTTCTTGCAGACCTATCCGTCCTGGGATCTCACTGGGACTTCAGAGATGGTCAGAGATCAGAATGGAGTGGCTGTCACCACGGAGGGCACCCCCCGAGAGATGAAAAAGTAGAGGACAGGGCAGAGAGCCCTGCAGAGGACTCACCCTCCCCAGGATCTGAGATTTCTCATCTGAAAAACGGGTATCATAAGAGCATCTTCTTATAGGCTTGCAGGATTGAGATAATGGACCTACAGTGCTTGGTGTGGGTGGCAGGTCACATAGGAAGTGCTCAGTTAATGGTGGCAGGGTGGTGGCTATTACTCACGTCATTATTGATGTCCCCAGAGCTCCATGGGGCGTCCTTCAGCTTCTGTGAGAAGGACTCAGTTGGCCTTACTCCAGAGATCCTCAGGCTCTTCTTTTTGGGGATATTGAGAACAGGAGGCCACGAGGGGAGATGCCCTGGCCTACCACTTTGGCTTCGCTGGTGACTCAGGTGGTTAAGAGTCTGCCTGTTGATGCAGGAGCTGTGGGTTCGATCCCTGGGTCAGGAAGATCCCCTGGAGAAGGAAATGGCTACCCACAATGGTATTCTTGCCTGGAGAATCCCATAGACAGAGGAGCCTGGCAGGCTACAGTCCATGGGGTTGTAAAGAGTTGGACACGACTGAACTTTGGACAGTGCTTTGGATGGTGGAGTCGGAGCAGGTTTTCAGGTTGCCAGCCTCCTGGTCTAGGTTGTTTGCCTTCCCTGGGGCCACCTTGGCAGACCTTTCAAAAGAAACAAGGTCATACCTCCTCGTGGGCCAGGGAGGGAACCAGAGTCAGTTTTGATATGTGGACTTGGGGAACAAGCAGGTCACAGCGGGTCAGGGGTGCCACTTTCTGCTGGTGGAGGTGACTCTAAGTGATGCTCTTTGGGTTCTCCTGCTAATGTGCTGGGTGTTTATAGTTTTTTTTAAAAAGGGCCTCATCAAAGAAGATGCAATAATGATGCTTCCGACTTAACAGCAATGCTTTAGCAGGGATGAATTATTCACATCGGAGATGAAACGGGGACTCTGCAAACTGGGCCAGCTGAAGCAGTCCTTTTCCTCGGGACTATTTTTATCTTCTTTTACAGTCTTTCATCTTGGGAGACTTGCGGTTCAGAAAGTGCGGGGAGCCCAAGCTGGCAGGATGTCAAGCCCGAAGTACTAGGCATCTTGGAGCTTCTCCCTGGAGTACAAAACTGAGGAAGCTTCAGAAAGTGTGGACAATGGGGCGGGAGCACCACTAACGAGGGTGACCACAGAGGAACTCTGAGGATTCCCAGGTTTTTCATCTTGGAGGACCCCAGGGGGCCCTCAATACTGCGGAGCCATCTTGCCCGTTCCTTCCCTTGGCGTCGGATCGTTCCTGGCATCCGATGAGTCTGAAATGATGCATGGAGCAGCCTGCCCAGAGGGAGGAAAAATTTTGTGACTGCAAGTCTGTTCAGAGTCAAGTGTGGCCCCCGCAGGGTCCCAAACCCTTCAGAATGAGCCAGTCCGATGTTGCCGAGTTCCATCCACCCCCATTTGCTTTAAGAAACACTCTAGACCCCTGTGGTCCAATACAGTACCCACAAACCTCGTGGGACTATGGAGCACTTGACATGTGGCTGGTCCAAACTGAGATGCCCTGTGAGTGTAAACACTCTGGATTTCAAAGACTCAGTGCATTTGAAGAATGGAAACTGTCTCACTAATCATTTTTTGTATTGATTATGTGTTGAGATGATAATATCTTGGATACACTGGGTTAAATAAAATATACTGTTAAGATTAATTTCACCCGCTTCTCCTTTTTAAAAGTGGCCACACTAGAAAATTTTAAATTACCCATGTGGTTCACATTCATGGCTTGATTTATATCTCGGTTGGAGTGCTCCTGTAAAGAGGATCCTGGGAAGATATTAACCAGCCGCTGACTTACTGGTGGAATTACATGTTTATTTTTTTATTACTTTTTTCTTCTTTTATACTTTTTTGTAATTTCTAATTTTCGCAGAACCTTCAAAACTAGCCAGTCTTGCTTTATATCTGAAAAGCCACAACCACTCTTGGTGTTTTTATTTTTAATTGAAGTGTAAACTTAGTTGCTCAGTCATGTGTCTGACTCTTCTTGATACTTTGGAGTGTAGCCCACCAGGCTCCTCTGTTCATGGGTTTTTTCAGACAAGAATTGAAGCATAGTTGATTTACAATCTTGCATTAGCTATATAGGTGGCTCATGGGTGAGGAATTCACCTGCCAGTGCAGGAGACACAGATTCCACCCCTGCATCAGGGACGATCCCCTGGAGAAGGAAATGGCAACCCTCTCCAGTATTCTCACCTAGGAAATCCCATCGACAGAGCAGCCTGGTGGGCTACCGTCCTCAGGGTCACAAGGGTCAGACACAACTTAGCAACTAAACAACAATAACAATATAGCAAAGTGATTCAGCTATACATGCACATATATTTTTCTGATTCTTTTCCATTATAGGTTATTACGAGATATTGAATATAGGTCCCTGGGCTATACAGTAAATGCTTGCTATTTATCTATTTCATATATACTGGTATCTGTTAATCTCATACTCCTAATTTATCCCTTCTCCTAGTCTTTCCCCTTTGGTAGCCATAAATTGGTTTTTTATATCTGTGAGTCTGTTTCTGCTTTGTAAATAAGTTCATTTCATATCACTTTTTTAAGATTTCACATATGAGTGATATCACGTGGTGTTTGTCTTTCTCTGACTTACTTTGCTCAACATGACACTCTCTAGGCCCATGCATGTTGCTGCAGACGGCAATATTTCATTCTCTCTTATGGCCGAGTAATATTCCACTGTCAGTATATACACCACACCTTTTTTTTCATATTCTTCTCCATTATGGTTTCTTTATTTTTGGCTGCGCTGGGTCTTCAGTGTTGCCTGCGGGCTTTCCCTAGTTGCGGCAAGCGGGAGCGACTCTCTGTTGCAGTGCTCAAGCTTCTCCTTGCGGTGGCTTCTCTTGTTGCAGCTATGGGCTCAGTAGTTGTGGGTGCACAGGCTTAGGGGCCCTGTGGCCTGTGGAATCTTCCTGGACCAGGGATCGAACCCATGTCCCCTGCAATGTTAGGCGGGGTCTTAACCACTGGACCACCTGGGCAGTCCCCCATTATGGTTTATTACAAGATATTGAACACAGTTCCCTGTGCTATTCAGTAGGACCTTGTTGTTTATTTCATATATAGTAGTTTGTATCCGTTAATCTCAAATAACTAACTTATTCCTCCTCCCTTTGGTAACCAAAAATTTGTTTTCTCTCTCTGTGAGTCTGTTTCTGCATTGTAAATAAGTTCATTTGTATCATTTTTTTTTTAGATTCTACATATAAGTGATATCACATGATAATTGTCTTTCTCTGTCAGATTTACTTCACTTGGTGTGATAATCTCTGGATTTATCCATGTTGCCGCAAATGGTAACATTCCGTTCTTTTTTATGGCCAAGTAATATTCAATCTTGGCATCTGGTCCCATCACTTCATGGGAAATAGATGGGGAGACAGTGGAAACAGTATCAGACTTTATTTTTTGGGGCTCCAAAATCACTGCAGATGGTGATTGCAGCCACGAAATTAGAAGACGCTTACTCCTTGGAAGGAAAATTATGACCAACCTAGATAGCATATTAAAAAGCAGAGACATTGCTTTGCCAACAAAGGTTCGTCTGGTCAAGGCTATGGTTTTTCCAGTGGTCATGTATGGATGTGAGAGTTGGACTGTGAGGAAAGCTGAGCGCCGATGAATTGATGCTTTTGAACTGTGGTGTTGGAGAAGACTCTTGAGAGTCCCTTGGACTGCAAGGAGATCCAACCAGTCCATCCTGAAGGAGATCAGTCCTGGGTGTTCACTGGAAGGACTGATGCTGAAGCTGAAACTCCAATACTTTGGCCACCTCATGCGAAGAGTTGACTCATTGGAAAAGACCCTGATGCTGGGAGGGATTGAGGGCAGGAGGAGAAGGGGACGACAGAGGATGAGATGGCTGGATGGCATCACCGACTCGATGGGCATGAGTTTGAATAAACTCTGGGAGTTGGTGATGGACAGGGAGGCCTGGCGTGCTGCGATTCATGGGGTCACAAAGAGTCGGACATGACTGAGAGACTGAACTGAACTGAACTGAATATTCAATCGGGTGTGTGTCTATATAAACATATATGAGAGCAGTAGTGAAAGTTTTAGTTGCTGAGTTGTGTCTGACCCTTGTGACTCCATGGACTGTAGCCTGCCAGACTCCCCCGTCCATGGCATCCCCCGGCAAGAATACTGGTGTGG